ATGACCACAAATCTGGAGTTTCAGTCTGTTGCAGGATTTCTTGCCCCTAGAGGACTCTCAAAACATAGAAGCATGTTACAGCAAGATATTGAAAAAGGAAATATCTAGTTCTCCACCAAAGGACACTGTTGGTTCTCTTTGTTCAAGTCACTCCAAGCACAGTTCCCAGATTTGAGGCTCCTGCTCAGATCCACTGTCACTTCCTTCTTCTCCCCAAGGCTCTCTCCCAACACATGCCTCTTACCCTAGAGAAATAAAAAAAATCCCAAACATACAGTGTAAAACACCAGTTAATTCTCAGTGGAACACATAGCCCATTTTCAGGCCATTCAGCTTTGGCTCTCTTGTGACAATGTCTAAGAGTGATGGACTTCTTTCTACACCCTGAAGAGAAAGGAAGCACTGAAATGGGCAATATCATGGTAAGGGCAAAGATACAGACATTGGTCAAGACCTGAAGGTATCTAGGGACAAAACTGACCCACAGAAAAACCACTTATGAAGGCTGTACATGAGGCTCTACAGGCCTAGGAGGCCACAGTTCCAAACTGGGGCCCTACAAAATACAGAAATTGAAGGATTTTGTTTTGGAGTAGTTTTTTTTTCAGCCCATTCTCCCTTCCACAGCATGAGTCATTAAGCTTTACCTGGCGAGGGACAGGAGCACTGGGGGAATTATCATCTTGTAGTATGCTGAGAGGAGAACGGCAAGTTCCACCAGATGATGCCATTATTTTGTTGTTGGTCTTGCGTCTTACAGGCTTGCTCCCTAGTGACAGAAGGAAACATGTCAGTGTGTAATGACAAGGCTAGAGGGTCCTGGATTTTTAGTGCTTCCTGGCCTTTATGATCTAGCTTGCTTGCCTGCTCAGCAAAGACTGTTACCCAAGGACTTCCAGGTAAAGCGATCACAGAGTGGTTGAGGTTGGAAGGGACTTGTGGAGAACATCAGGTCCAACCCCTCTCTCTGCTCCAGCAGTGCTATCTAAAGCCAGGTGCCCAGGACCATGTCCAGATGGATTTGAATATCTCAAAAAATGGAGACACTAACATCTCAGGGCAACCTGGTCCAGTGCTCAGTCATCCTCACAGTAGGAAAAAGTGTTTCCTGATGTTCAGATGGAGCCTCCTATGTTCCAGTTTGAACCTATTGCCCCTGGTTCTGCCACTGGGCACCACTGAAAAAAGCCTGGCTCTCCCTTCCTTATACCCTCCTTTCAAGTATTTATACATATTAATAAGATCCCCCTGAGCCTTCTCTTCTCCAGGCTGAAGAGTCCCAGCTCTCAGCCTCTCCTCATAGGAGAGATGCTCAGCATGGAGTTTTCCAAAGCACAGCCTATATTAAAGGCTCTCAGCACCACTCAGTTATAGCACTTAGATGTGCTATAACTAAGTCCCACTCTTGCTACCCAGCTCTGCCCAAGGAGAAACTCCAAGGTCTCACTGAATAAGCCTCCACAATTACAAGCCTATCTCTGAGAAGGGAAGAGCTGACATTTACCTTTTAAAGAGGTACATTTATCTCTTGATTTCGACTACCGATTAAAACCACACTTTTTTCAACTCCTGACAGAAATCAGTTTGGTAAAAAAAAAAAATTTCCCAAAGGGGCCTCCTGCCTGCCAGCTGCAGAGCCCCAAGGCCAGGCTATCTGAGGCAGTGGGAGACAGCTGAACCGCAGGAACAGACAAGGTTCCGTAAGAAAGCAAGCCTGGAGAAGATCCCTGCACTAGACGGTTGTTGACCTGCTCATACCTCGAACCGCGCAGCTCCCCGGGTACACGGAGCCTTCGGTGTGTTACCCCCCACAACAAGCACTTACCCGAGGAGAAGCCAGGCCCGGCAACGCGGGCTGGCCGAGCCGGGGCCACGCT